TACACTTTAAAGGCGGTGCTATTGTAATTTAAAGGATATTATTGTAGCTTATTTTAATGCATTTCTTTGTTCGACTGTTAAAAATATTGCGATGGATGTGCTTCAGGGGGAGGAGCCATTATGAGGTACAGATTAACCAATCAAAAGCACATCTAAAAACGTCTCCTTCAGACGTGAACTCCAACAATATCAGGAACCTATTTATCACCCAAAAATTAACCTTTCACAAAATATAATTGATACGTTTATCAAAAGACAAGCTCATATTGATGAAATGAACAATAGACCCTGGACATTTTAAAGTTAGCTGGTATTCTGAACAAATAAAAACAGTTAAAGTTAAAATATTTAATGTAAAACTGTTGATATTATTGATAAAAATAGGTGGAATAATAATAAAAAGACCAGTTTTGAAAGCAGAGATTGGTCATATATGTCAAACACATAATATAATTGTGATATTCACGTATTTAACATCTCTATATCAAGTAAAACAGCAGTTTCTGATGTGTTGACGGGTATGTCAGACTGTTGCCGTGCTTTCAGGGAAACTTAGTGGTCCCTCTCCTCTGCAGTGGCCGGAGTCTCAGCAGCGTGTTGAATTCTGCCGCAGGTTTCACTGCATCTCCAGTGTTGCAGCTGCCGGTGGCTGCGTATCTGTTGACGATATCGGTACTGCTGTTAATGAACTGTATCACTGAAGATACAGAGAAGCCTCCTCTTTTCCTTTGCAGTCTTTCCAGTCCTCTAAGAGGGCTGGTCAGACCGGAAATACAGAGAGCACTCTAAATATTCCCCTTAGTGCGCCTGAACTCTGCATGCACCGATGACGGCTTGGGCATTGCATGCGGAAACAGCATGGTTTGGGGACTGACATGCATCATTTTGAACTTACGGTTATCCCGCAAATTCACTGGAAGCTGATAACCATCCATGGCCGATATCCAAGAGGAGGAAAAAAAAGCTGATGTGAGACTGATGTTAGCAGTCACTAGAGGGGATGAAAAGGTTTTATGCTTCTCTAGCTCAGAATAATCACATCCTTTGATATTATAACACTTTGGAGTTGAAACAGTTAACCCATCCTTTTTGTTTAAGAAGTCATCTTTAAACAGATGCTCTGATGTTTTAAATCTGCAGCCACTTTAAATGCAATTAACTATAAAGGTTTCCTGGATTCATTTTAATTACATTTTGAAAAGCTCAGTTTAGAAAGGGTTTAAATGAAACTTAAATTATTCAGATAATCAAGAAAGGGAAGAAAAAAGTTGTCCAGCTCAATTTTACGTGAAGAAATTCTGCTCGGTCATATTCTGAATTAAAACTTCCGAAAGTTCTTTAAATATTAAATTATT